ATGTACAGCTCCGTGCTGCGTGCACGGCCGTATCGGGCCGCTCCCGGGAAGGACAGGTGCTGTATGTGATTTGTACGCAGCCCCCGTCCTTCTCTTTAGGAATATGCCGCCGTACGCTCACATCTGTGCAGGTGTCCGTACTCATACGCAGACACGATGGATCCTGTCTGTGTCCAAGCAGGGAAACCCGTACCCGCACGGGCATGCAGTTCGGGTGAGCGTACGATCACACGCAGCACTTGTCCTTCCCGGGAGCTGCCGATGCTGTACGGGCCGGCTGTTAGTCGTGTGAATGAGGCCTTAATGTCGCATGAGGATTTATTCTAGGGAAATGTACGGAACTGGTGCAAAAAAAATGGTCTTATGCACGCTTTCCATCTGATTTAGGGCTAGTTCACACCAGCCCCAGTGCGTTACGGCCCGATTGGTGCCGGAACGCACTGGATCAGATTTTGGCCGGCTCACTTTGTTTTGGGGCGGGAGGGGATTGGAGGTGCATTGAAGTAAATGGCAGCGCAGCCACGCCCTCCGGCTGCAGTGCGATCGTCCGTACCGGAATGTGCGGCACATCAATGCCTGCGGTTCCAGTCCAGTGCGGTCGGAAAAAATAGTGCATGCAATGACTTCAATGCATCAGGATCAGGTGAACATATCTTCTTCATCTGATCCCCCCCTTAGACAAAATAAGCACAACAGAAGTATTTGTTTTTTTTGTGCAGGGTTAGTTGAGGCCCCAGACAAGCCTATGAAGCTACACCAGGGCTGGAGATGGCAAACATGGAGCACAGGCTACCCTGGTTCTGGACATGAGGCGGCCACTACATGGGACACAGCCTCCTGTCTACAAAGTCACTCAACAATAAAAGTGATATTTGTAACCCTCGTTGCAGCCCCCCCCAGTAAAATATTGCCAAGTACCCCGTAACCTAGCCTTACATTACTGTACCGGTATTGTTACCCAGACGGCGGTTCCCCTTTAATTTCAGCGATAATCTGCCCGCCGGTGACATGTGCCCACTACTCCCGTCCCCCTCACTGGCTGCAGGCCTGGCCCGGCAATCACTGAGGAAAAGGAGACAGATGGTGCAATGGGAATCCTGCTTTAGCGATTAACAGAGTTTGGATTTTATTTCTGCCCCCGTGGAGAGGGCCGGCGAGAACCGCCCATGTTTATTAAATCAAGATGGAAGCATCCCAGATATAGCACCGCAGCAAATGTACCGTGCAAACCCTTAAAGGGAACCTGTCACGATGGAAATGCAGGTGCTGCCATTGCTAACCTATTTATAATGGAGCTTTGGGGATGTCATCCTGATTCTGGCCTCAGTGTCCTGGAGCAAGCAGTAAAGTCAGTCTTAATTGAAAAAAGGGTTTCCTGAGATGTTTCAGAGGGTGAAGGAACTTTAGACCATCATGGCTCCCTTCCCTGTACGGTTTGTGCTGCAGGGCCATTTATTTAGAATGCAGGCCCAATGCGGGACCCGCGCTGCAGCGTACCACAATGCCCGTGCCCTGCGTAGGGTTGCCACCTTTTCTTCCAGCGAAACCCGAACACTCTAGCGACGCATGGAAATGTTTTTGGGAGAATAAGTCGTGGCTTATTCATATGTAAATAGCATCACCCATTCATATGTAAATATCACAGTCGAGACTATTTTCAGTAGGGGGCCAGTAGCCCCTATCTTAATTTTGGTTGCCCCTGTCTGCCTGACATCATGTGTCCGGGTTTCAGCTGCCATGAAACCCGGACACAGCATTCAAAACCCGAACTGTCCGGGTGAATTCTGGACAGGTGGCAACCCTAGCCCTGCGTCGTGGTTGCATGAATAATAATGGCCAGGTATGTCTTTTGGGCCGTTGCCATGCATTGGCAGCCCATTCCAAATAAACGTAAATATGTGTCCAGCCAAAACGTTTTTTCATAGTTCTGATTAGAATGGAGAGAATTAAAACCTTTATCAGGTTTTTAACTGCTCTCTGGCGAGATTTACCCTCACTTCCTGTCCTGCTGATAACATTTCTCCAAACAGGAAGTGAGTGGAACACTCCAACAGAAATAAAAACATTTTATTATTTTAAGTAGAGAACCCATGCCAAGATTTTTATTGCTGTCTTTGTCCCTGTTACAGATTCTCCCTCACTTCCTGTGTGGTTAACCGTTGTCACTGAAACAGGAAGTAAGGGAAAGGAGGTAACGGAGCCCTGGATAGCAGCAAAAACCAGACATGGGTCTAAATCCTTCCACACGCAAACCAAAATGTAAAAAAAAGTTATTATTTTTATGTCGGCACTTATAATACCGCAAGGCTTATGTTATTATGAGCGCCAAAATAAAAATAACGTCCTGTGGGAATGTTTTTCTTGACTGGCTCATGTCATAAACATTCCCACAGGACAGTAAATAAAATATTGATGCGTATGAGGTAAATTAAAAGCCTGACTCGAGTCTAAACTTTTTATTTCGTTGTAGAGCGTGGAGGGGTCACGCTTGCGATCCTGGTGGTGACAACAGTGACAGGATTGCTATGCAGGGCAGAGAAATACTTCCCTGTTTCCACGGCGATGCTTCCTCACTGGTTGAGGACGTCGCTCCCTCTGAGGTGTTTCCATCAGGGAGCGACGGCCTCACCCGTCCGGCTAGTGATGGAGCCACGCAATGGAAACAAGTGACAACTATTCTCCATCCGTTCTAGCCACCGTGATGGCGGCTTGTTGCCGCCAGCGACAGAATCGAAGGTGTGACATGCGCCTACACAAGCATTCAAAATTCTCTGATTACAAACGCGTTTTACGCTTGGATGCGTTTTTTAAGCATTATTTTGCGCTGCAAGACTTGCTCTTTAACGCCCTTGAAGCAAATAGGCATTGTGGGCAATGACTGAGGAAAAACTTCATGTAACCTGAGAACACGATTAAGGGTCCATTCACACTGCGCAAAACGGCACAGTGCCGATGCGCCAATCCCGGCACATCGCACTGTGTACTTTTTTTTTTTTAGAACTTTACTGAAATGCCACAAGTGACATTGCATTCAGTTCTGCTGGCATATTGGGGTGCAAGCTGGTTCTTCCGGGTTGCATCCTTCTGCACCTTCTGCCACCCGCTGTCCAGCGGTCGCACTCTGATGTCATCACGTACAATGCAGGACCAGCAATCCTGCGAGGGCGCCAAGGGCCCGCACACATCCCGGAGCACTGGAGAGAAGAGGTAAGAGGAAGAGGTAGGGGTAAGGTAAGTAAAATTGCTTTTTTTAATGGTATGCCAGACAAAAATGAGAATTTAACCCTTGCAGTGTGGGGGAGCGGAACCCCAAGTGTAACAGTAATGTTTTCCCAGAGTTCAGCTTCAAGCTCCAATTCACACCAGGCACTGAGCTAAACACACAGTGGCTGGTGTGCGTTGCCCGACACAGTGCCGATGCGCCGATCCCAACGCATCGTACTGTGCAGTTTTATTTGTTTTTGGTAGAACTTTATTGAAATGTCACAGATGACATTTCATTCAGCTCTAAGGGCACAGCAGTGTGCAAGGCAAATGTTCCGCGTAGCGTTCCCACCGCGCTGAAAAAAGTACAGCATGCCATACTTTTTTTCAGCGTACGCCCCTGCGTTCCCATTGCAATGTGGTGGTGTGAACCGAGCCCGTCCGTGACAAGTCAAATTGCTTTTTCTTGCCTTGGGACTGTGGTAGAGACAAGGTCAGCGCTTTCCCAACGCATATGGTGTGATTTAGGTCGGCATTTGTCAGAACATGACCTAAAGCTGATGAGTTAAAATGGAGTTATAAAGGAACCCGTGCCCACTGCCAAAAGGTACTCCTTTTGGCAATACCTTTTGGGGGTGTTTGGAGGCCACATACAGACAACTAGGGGTACTGGCATTAAATGTACACACCCCGGGGCACAATCTTTAAGAACGCAGTACAGCCCTACAGGTTTCTATGTCATCTCTGCAACACATGGCAGCTCTGCATGATAGGAATTCCGGGAATGAGGCCTAGTGACCCCGTACATCCAATAACCCTGCCCCTACTTCCTGTCTGTGGGGCACTCTGGTATTGTAAGGCTTTTTCTAAAACTGTCAGCGTTCTGTAATTCCCACATTTTCTCATGTTGAGGCCTTGCACGATCATTTGGTGGTTTGGCACGCAGAGCCCTCGGACAGCTGTGCGGCCGCATAAACATATGTAACGCAGGCCTCAGTGTCCGGCCTCCATTATCCACAATGAATCCCACAATACACCCAGATGTAGAACAGGGGTAGGCAACCTTGGCACGCCAGCTGTTGTGGAACTACAAGTCCCATGAGGCATTGCAAGACGCTGACAGCCACAGGCATGATGCATTATGGGATTAGTAGTTTCACTAGAGCTGGAGTGACGAGGTAGCCTACCCCTGTCTAGAGATTGGGCAGTGTGCAGGTACGGTGATCTAATACTGACCACACCCCTTTTTTTGGTACTTGGAGTCAATCTGAATGTTACTTCTTCTCAGTTATGCCTCATGCATTCGCTGTGCAGCCCGATTTGATCCCAGCGACAATCAGAATCAAGGTCAAAATTTACTTTCGATCCCCTAAAATGTTCATCGCCTCCATTTCTGTACACATCAAACCACGCCATAAACACAGCAATGGCATTTGTAAATGAGTGAACATTTTTTAACCGTGTGATCCTTTTCTTCGATTTGCATAACTCCTCCCAAGAGCCATCCCACTGCTTGCATCATAACTGAGGGCTCTTAGGAGAAGGACTGAGGCAGGGTGTTGTGATGTGTTCAGGAAGCTAGGAACAGCACCAGCCATGACCTGTCTTCATTGCACAGATGATGATGTCACTGGGACTATAAGGTATGTCATGAAAATGGAAAGGTTTTATATAAAAAAAAGTTATTTTGCTTGTAAATGAAAAAGGGAAAAGAGCAGCCAGTGATGGAAGAATAAAGATAAAGGTAAGCTTTAAAGTGAAAGTATCTCAATATCTTGCTTATTTGTCTCTTATAGCCACGTCCCCCCATGCGTCCTCGGAGCTGGAACAGGCCCGACCTCAGACGAGTGGAGAGGAGGAGCTACAGCTGCAGTTGGCGCTCGCCATGAGCAGAGAGGTGGCAGAGCAGGTAAGGAATGACCCCGGGGCTCACTGACAGAGAATAGTGTGGTTGCTCATTGCAGTCTGTCACTGGACATGTAAGCTGCAAAAAAATTCGGTTTGGTTATTTTGTATTTCAGGATTCAGATCCAAAATTCAATTCGGTTTGGGGGTTTCGGACTTGGACGAAATCCAAATTTTCATTAGTTTCGGATGAGTTTACGAATATTCGTTACGACTACCACAGAAAACCATCTACAGATATTAATACTAAAGCTGAGGTTAGGGTAATTTTCGTTACGGCAACATGGGAGACATATATACGGTATATCACTTGCCCCTCCCTTTTAGATTGTAAGCCCTCAGGGGCGGGCCCTCCTTACCATCTTGTCTTAAATTGTATTGTGACTGTAATGTCTTCCTTATATTGTAAAGCGCTGTGCAAACTATTGGCGCTATATAAATCCTGTATAATAATAATAATAATAATATACACATAATACTAAAGCTGAGGCTCCCAGACCCCAATGGCATTTGGGATCCGAATTTCCAAATTGCATTCGGGAGCTCCTGAATGCCAGTTGGGTCTGGGAGCCTCAGCATTAGTAATATATATGTATATGGCTCCTAGACCCAAACGGCATTCAGATCGTGTTCAGACCCATTCGGATGCATTAAACCCGAAAAACACATCTGATTGGCCATTGTACCCTTCAGTATAACCTTGTCTCAGGTTATCAAGCAAAGAGGAACTCACAATGGTGGGGTGAATGGAACATTTGGGTTTTAACCTTGTTTTATGTTTGTACAGGAGGATCGAATCCGTCGAGGTGATGATTTGCGGCTCCAGATGGCCTTGGAGGAGAGTAGGAAACACACCGCCAAAGCGCCAAAAAAGAAATCGGTAAGGCTCTTCTAAGCATGACAAGCGCCCCATTTTGATTTTTCTGAGGAGGGGTAGAAAGGAGGATTGGACAGTGGCAGAGAGGTGGATGTGGGATGCTTCATACAGAACGGGTCCCTGTATCTCTGACAGACTGGATACAAGTACAAGTCTACTGGTGTTGAGGCCTGAAGACTTACTGCTGGCCAATACTGTAATACAGCAGACCTTTGGGCAGAAATGTTATTAACCCTTGCAGTGGGGCTACACCGCAGCGGTCTAGGAATCCTCAAGTCATCACATCCAATACAGTGTATAGTCTTACCCGATCCTCCGAGCCGGCAGCGCTCCCTCCTGCCTGTCACCTCCTCCACTGCAGTGATGTTATGTTTCCTGATTCCTAGACCGCTGCAGTGGAAGGGGAGAGACGCTCCAGGGACCGGTCTAAGAGTCGGCTGGCTCAGAGGATCAGATGAGTAAAACTTTTTTAATTGGACCCTAGGCAAAAATTAGCAATTAACCCTTACAGTGTGTGTGTGTTTATGGGTAGCCCCATTGCAAGGGTTATTACAATTTCTATCCGGAGTTCTTCTTTCATTCTCATTGAGTCATGAAGGGCATTTGCAATAATCCAAATCTCAACTCTTAAGTGTAACTCTTAAGAAAAAAAAACAACATATGAATGTACATGCAGGGCCGGATTTACACCCTTGCTGCCCCTCTACTCCCTGCTGCCCCAAGGCCGGGCCTTAGTTGGCCTTGTGGAAAAACCGGACCTGTGAACATCTCTGCAATGCGTGTAGATTTGCATGTGCATGCATGTTTTGTCTATTTCAAGAGTTTCAAGTACAGAATAATATCTGTTGGTTTGTCAGAAAACTAGGGAGCTCCTAACACTTTTAAAGGGTTATTCACAAAAGGGTGAAGGGTTTGGAGAAGACAGGAGAAGTGAACAATCTAGGACAGTGGTGGCGAACCTTGGCACTCCAGCTGTTTTGGAACTACAAGTCCCATGAGGCATTGCAAGGCTCTGACAGCCACAAACATAACTCCCAGAGGCAGATGCATGTTGGGATTTGTAGTTTTGGCACAGCTGGAGTGCCAAGGTTCGCCACCACTGATCTAGGACAACAAACATCTCACTTTCCAGTTGAGCTTGTGCCCATGGGTGGTTAGAACTGTTCTTGTTTGATATGCAGTGTTTATTGATTTACTCATTTTTGATTTGCAGCAGCATCCGTCGTTGATGGATCTAATAGACGCACTGCCTCCCAGGGCCCCGGGCCCTCCAAAATCCGAGCCTTGGGCAGCCGTATCGGTACCGACATCAAACAGCCAGCCTGATCCTTGGGGGGCAACCGCTGCCTCTCCCACCTCCATAGACCCCTGGCAGTCTTTTGGTGAGTACAGTTTGTTCATGTGATGTGGATATGTCAGTGTACTTTTTAGTACGAGCTTGCAATAGCTTGCTTTCCGATCCAAGACACATAAATGAAATAAAGTGGGCGTATAAATACTGCAGCACTGATCTACCCTTATGCCTTAGTGGATGCAAATATTAGCATAAAGTTATAGTTAACAGCGTTTTGGGGATAAATAAACTTTTCTGGAGAAAATGCTCATTAGTGGTCTGACGGTCTGAGTCAGGGGTGGGCAAACTCCGGCCCTTCAGCTGTGGTGCAACTACAAATCCCATGAGGCATTGCAAGATTCTCACAGCCACAGGCATGACTCGCAGAGACGGATGACCCCTGGTCTAAGTATTTGGTCTTGATACCTTTGCTGAAGGGAAGAATCAGAGTTTAGATTGACTTTATTGTCCGTCTGAGATCATATGACCAAGTGCCAAGGCCTTCACACATTGGGAAGCACCGAATGAATGCTGAAGCCGCATTGTCTCCAGGCAAGCTAAGTATTTAAAGGATAATTAAACCCTTGGGGGTTTTAGCATATATCTACTGCTAGCAAGCAGTAGATATATGCAAAAGCTTTAAAAAAAAAAATTACGAAAAAGATAATAACTTACCGGTGCCTCTGCCGCGCGCTCCCGTCCGAAGATCTGAAAATTCTCGGGCGGCTGCAAAGGATGATGGGGCGGGCGCATGCGCAGTAGAGATTTTTGGCTGGAAGAGGAGGAGAGACTCAGAGTAAGTCAATGCTCGCTGCCCGGCAGCATGCACACGGACAGACTCCGTGGGACACAGAAGACTCGGCAGTCAGCGCTGGATCAGAGACCGGCACCAGCGCTGGAGGGACTCCTGAAAACTACAGGAACCAAGAGGCATCACTTAAGGTAAGTCCTTACACCAGCATTGGTGTAAATTTATCCTTTAATGTCACTTTAAGCAATTTCTATTATTCTCTCATATCAATCCCAGCAAGACTGCTAACATAGGTTATCCTATCCTTTAAGTATCAATCCGGTTTAATTATAGAAAGGTTAACTTTTGTAGCATTGCAATCTAGAAAGTGTCTAGCTATTGTCCTACTTGTAGGGATGAGCTCAGGTTCGGCCCAAACCCAGGGCAAACCTGACCTCCTCTGAACCCGGCAAGAAGCTTTTTCCACTGCTGCCCAATCAGCTATGACCAGGAATTCCCCGACCACAGCTGCACGTAAGCAAAAAGGTGACATCATTCACCTCATATGGCCACATGGCTATATTTAGTCAATGACCTTGACCTAATATTGCCAATTGGTCATATATGGTCAGTGATGTCATCACAAGCATCCCGCCTCTTTGCTTATGTGTAGCTGCAAAGTTGCGACTGCCCGATTGGGCAGGTGGTCCCATGCCCCTTCCAGGTTCAGAGGAGCTCAGCTTCAGGCCAGATTTGGTTAGAACCTTAGCTCCCAGTTTATAATAGAAAATATCTATTATTTCCCTCCCCAAACTGATTCTGTCATTTCGGCTCTACGGAGAAGATAAGGTAAGATTCTGATTTCTTTCAGCCACTTGTTATAATGAGTCACCTGCCGCTTTGTTTACTTTCCCTTTACACACCAGCCCAGTGATGGATTGGGCCTAGCCTGACGTCATTCTTCTGGCAGTTCAGACACATTCCTTAGTGGAAAGTCACAGGGTAGCCAGAAAATTATCTTGTTGGGATTTGTAGGAAGCTCTGTGCCTATGGTAAGACGGGAATCCAAGTGTCTGACCACATTCTTGTCTCAATTTCTGATTTAAGAAGCCACATCATGTAACCCCGTAATCTGTAACACAAACTGCAAAAACATGTCAAACGTTTTGGCCGTGGCCTATAATATGAGAACCAAAAGCGTTCCACTGCACGCTCTGTATGTTAAAAAAAAGACCTGTTATAAGGACGCCATCCAACGTATCCCTCCTGCCATTTCAGAACTGCCGTCCTGAAGAAACATTCTACTCCAATATCTTTCAAGTGCTGGTCATGTGACCAGATGTCACATGACATTGGTCACATGATCTCATCTGAAGGGACTTGTTCAGGTCGAGCCAGCCAGTTAGAGACCGTGCCTAAACTTTGGCCCTCCAATAAGGAAGCGATCACGTGGCCAGAACAGAGGCATTCGCACATGTGATTAGAAACATAGGAAGGTCAGGATAGAAGCTCTTTCAAGATAGGGATTTCTGCACCTCTTTTGTCTTCCATATATTTAGTGTTGCAGGAGGGTCACATTAGAAACCAACTGCAGTCTTACCTGATCCTCAAACTTTCCAAACAAAGGGCCAGCTTTGTGTCCTTCAGGGGGGCCAGACTGTAGCCAGGCAGCATAGAAAATGCTCCGGCATCAGTGGTCAGAGGGTGTAAGGGTCAGTTGAAAGAGGAATAATGCCCCATCATTGTTGTCAGTGAGAAGAATAATGCCCCATCACTGGTGTCATTGAAAAGAAAAGTGTTCAGTCGCTGGTGTATTTGAAAAGAATAGCTCCCCATCGCAGGTGTCAGTGGGAACAATAGTGTCCCATCGTTGGTATCAGTGGAATGTAAGGTGTCCCATTACTGGTGTCAGTGGGAGGAATGGTGCACCATCGTTGTTAGTGGGAAGAATATGGCTCCAATGTCGGTGTCAGTGAAAGGAGCCATGTCTCACCATTGGTATCAGTGAGATTAATAGTGCCCTAGCATTGGTGTCAGTGAAAGAAATGGTGTCACATAATTGGTATCATTGGAAAGAATAGTGCCCCATAATTGGTATCAATGGAAATAATAGTGCCCCATAATTAGTATCATTGGAAGGAATAGTGCCCCATAATTGGTATCATTGGAAGGAATAGTGCCCCATTATTGGTATCATTGGAAGGAATAGTGCCCCATTATTGGTATCATTGGAAGGAATAGTGCCCCATTATCGGCGTCAGTGAGAGGCAAAGTGTCCCATCACTGGTGTCAGTAGAAGGAAGAGTACCCCTTCATTGTTGTCAGTAGAAGGAAGAGTACCCCTTCATTGTTGTCAGTGTGAGGAACAGTGCCCTATTTTTAATGTCAGAGGAGTAAATAGTGCCCCACCATTGTTATCATTGAGAGAAGGAATAGTGTCCCACCGTTGATGTCAGTGAGAAGAAGAGTGCCCCATCAGTGGGAGGAACAGTGCCTCATAGTTGGTGACATCGCTGGTGTTGGTGGGCTAAATAGTGTCAGTGGGAGGAATAGTGTCTCGTAGTTGGTGTCAGCAGAAGGAATAGTCACATTGTTGGTATCAGAGGGGTAAATTGTGTTCCATCACTGGTATCAGTAGGGCAAATAGTGTTTCATCATTGATATCAGTGGGGTAAATAGTGTTCCATCATTGGTGTCAGTGGTAGGAATAGCGCCTGGCAGTTGGTGTCTGCAGAAGGAATAATCACATTGTTGGTATCAGTGGGGTAAATAGTGTTCCATCGTTGGCATCAGTGGCGTAAATAGTGTTCCATCACTGGTGTCAGTGGGAGGAATAGAGGACCATTGGACAATTAAAGTTAAACAAAAAGCTGCATCTGGCCTGTGGGAGGCAGTTTGGAGAACACTTTACCAAATGATTCATCTATCCAATCTTGCCAGACATTGCAGGGAAGGATGAACAATGTTATTTTGTCAGATGTCAGCGGTGTTTGAAAGGCTGGATTCAAGCCCTGCTGCTTTTATTTGTACATGAAATTAACATGTATTTAGCAGGGAAGCTCTGTGCTTCCTGCCGGCTCCCTCCTTGAGATGCTCCCACCAACATGTGAAATGTCACAGCCTGCCTCTGACGCTCAGAGCTAACAGCGTCCATCTGTTCGTACGGCAGTTACGAAGACATCTGCCACCTCTGACCCTTGGGGATCGAGCACAGTCTCTTCAACGCAGTCTCTTCCCAAAAGCCAAGACCCCCGGGCCCCCTCGCCTGCCACGGGAGCAGCTAATTCTACAGCAGACCCCTGGGGACCTGCGCCAGCAACTAAATCTAGCACAGGTGAGAGGACTCCGCTGTAGCAACAGAGAGCACTAAAACGCAGATGTCTGGAGTTAAAGAGAACCTGTCAGGGTACAGGTACTGCTAAGTCAATCACACATGGACTCACACACACGCACACACCAGCTCAACCATAAATGCATACACCAAATAGGTTGGACGTGATGGACTTTTGTCTTTATTCAACCTCAAATACTATGTAACTGTCATACCTGAGCGCATGCAAAAATTGGAATGCTCATTCTTAAAGTACTAAAATCAGCATTAACTTCTGAAAGGTTTATACAGCATTCGCTCTCTTAATTCGCTTTAATTACTTTGTCTCGCTAGTATTAACCCTGTGACATAATTTTATTACATGGCATATATGGCATGTCCTGCAAAAGAAACAATGGCAACCTCTCAGATCAAGTTAAAACTACCAAAAAAAGGGGAAGGGTGCACATGGGCAAGGCAAGATACAGATCAATTCCCTGCCCATGTGCACCTTCCCCTTTTTAGCTAGTTTTAAATTGACCTGAGCGGTTGCCATTGTTGCTTTTGCTGGATTTGGTGAATACGAGAGCAGGGGTAGGCAAACCCCAGCCCTCCAGCTGTGGTGAAACTATAAATTGCCACTGGGAGTCCTGCCAGTCTTCCAATGCCCCATGGGATTTGTAGTTGCACCACAGCTGGAGTTTGCCTACTCCTGCATTGGAGGTTTTCAGCTGCTTTGAGTGGTGTTGGTCTTATGGAGTGTTGCGTTACCGTGAAGGAGGAGAAGGCTGCTTTCAGGTGAGCCCGCTCTCAATGTATCCATTGCTATAAATGTCCCTTAAAGCAGAACTTGGGGCATTGGGGCAAATCGAATCTTAACCCTTGCAGTGGGGTTACCCCACACACTGCAAGGGTTAAGTGCTTGGTTTGCCTGGGGTAGCTAAAATAAGAGATATACTCACCCGAACCACGATCCCGGCTTGCTCTTAGACTGCTCCTTTCAGCCTCCTTCCTCCTCCGCTCCAGCGGTCTAAGGTCCTCTGAATCATCACATCCAATACAGTGTGTTGGAGCGTGAGAATGCCGAGGGACATTCCATCGCCGGAGGAGACAGGCTGGAGGGAGCGGTGTAAGGTCTCGTTCACACCTAGGCGTATTGCATATGCGCGTCTGTCGCGCGGTTTTTTTACCGCGATTCGCGGCCCAAAGCAGTACATGTACCTTTTCAGGCGTGGGCCGTTTTGTAGCGCGTTAGGGACGGGCGGAAATACGCCAAGGTGGGAACGAGACCTAAGAGAAAGCCGGGATCGAGGTTCGGATGAGTATAACTTTGTTATTTTAGCTCCCTAGGCAAAACGAGCACTTAACCCTTTCAGTGCAGGGGGTAGTCCCACTCCAAGGGCTAAGATTTGATTTGCCTGGAGTTCTGCTTTCAGCTGGCCATACTTTAGTAGAACTTTGCTCGAAAAAATTCATCTCCGGGACGTCTCTTTGATTTTCTAATAGTTAATGGTCCTTTTCGACCGCAATAATGGAAACATTTTCCCCGAAGGAACGAAAATCCTAAGGCCTCATTCACACGAGAAAAGGCCGGCACGTACAGCTCCGTGCACGGCCATATCTGGCAGCTCTCGGGAAGGACAGGTGCTGCGTGTGATTAGTACACAGCCCCTGTCCTTCTCTATGGGAGTACGCGGCCGTACGCTCACCCCAAGTGGTGTCCCAGCTCGGACGCAGACAGGATCCATCCTATCAGCGTACGAGTACAGTCACCTGTACGGCCGTGCAGGGAGGGTGAGCGTAGGGGGGCGTACGGCTGCATACTCCCATAGAGAAGGACCGGGGCTGCGTACTAATCACACCCAGCACCTGTCCTTTCCGGGAGCTCCCCGATACGGCCGTGTACGCAGCATGGAGCTGAAAATGCCGGCTTTTTCTCGTGTGATTGAGGCCTAAGAGTTAATTTGATTTTCTTTGGCAAACTCCATTCATTCCGAAATCGAATGTTAAAAACAAACAAAACTAAAGGTGCCCACACACCTTGCGATAATAGTAAGTGTGTGGAAGCCGTGCGACCTCTACTAATGTAAGGTCGCACGACTTTTATCTTACGAACACGTTGGAAAACCCGCCGAGAATCGTACGATTTTTGGCGGTGTGTAGCACGTTCGTAAGATAAAAGCCGGACGGGCCGGTGTGCGCAAGCGCACACTGCCCGTTCGGCATTGCGTTCATCGGAAGCCCGCCCCTCAGGGGGACGCGGCTTGCGATCATCGCAAGTACGATCTGCCTGTCCAAGATAGGCAGATCGTACGTTTTTTTAATTACCTTACAACCATCGCAAGACTAAGGTCTTGTGATGGTTGTAAGGTGTGTGCCCAGCCTTAGAATGCCATTCCCCAAGTCTCTGATCGAATGTCCTGATGAGATTTTTCCTATGAACGTCTGTAGGAATATCTACTAGTGTATGGCCGGCTTTGGTTGGGAATGCAGATAATTTTGAGTTGAAGAGCTCACTTATCAAGAAATCATGGGGCCCCAGACAGCCCCCCCCCCCTTCCCACATCACCTGAAAACAAACACAACCTGTGCCCTGCCTTTTAATCAGAGAGCCAACATCCTGCCCCAGGGAGGGAGAGAGGCAAGTGCTGACTGCGTTGACTTGTGTGCCGCCGTTACATCCTGCAGCATGCTGCATCACTGGGGCCCTGTGCACGCAGCCCTTCCTCTCCCTTTAACTCTGTTTGTATAAGAACAAGCGAAGCGCAAAGATAGACGACGCGGGTAATTAGATCCCTTCTGTTACTGCAATAATGGCTTTACCTTACAAGTCTGGCCTTACCCCTCTGCCAACCTGATGGGGCCCGGTACGGGAGAACTGCCTGTACCCCCTGTCGGCGGCCCTGGGGGCCTTAATGGAGCAGCGTGGCTTCAACGTGGATTTGCAAATGTATGCAACCGAAATCTGAGGAGCTGAATAAGTTTAGTTATTTTTTTGCTTGCTAACATGAAGTTGTGCTGCTATATGGTTTGCCCTAACCCCTGCGACTGTTACTATTGCTGTGGAGGAAAATGTAACTAATAGCATCTGAAAATAAAAAACAGAAATTAATGCACTTAACAAAATGACAAATCACATC